CCTAAACCCTAAACCCTAAACCCTAAACCCTAAACCCTAAACCCCCTAAACCCCCCTAAACCCTAAGCCGCAGCTCAATCTGCATCCCCAAACCCCTCAACCGACATCGGAAAACACAAACCTTCAAGCCCTCGAGCCAAAACTCAGCACCTAAACACCCCCCCCCCCCCCCGCCCCGGCCAAAAAAAAATAAAAAATCATCCAAAATAATCCAAAAAAACCTCAAGTCCCGCCCCTAAACCCCAAAGCCCCGGGTTTAGGGCTTAGGGTTTCACAAGGGTTTAGGGTTTAGTGTTTGGGGTTTAGGGCTTCGGGTCTAGGGTCTAGGGTCCAGGGTCTAGGGTCTAGGGTTTAGGGTTTAGGGTTTAGGGTTTAGGGTTTAGGGTTTAGGGTTTAGGGTTTAGGGTTTAGGGTTTAGGGCTTGGGGCTTAGGGCTTAGGGCTTAGGGCTTAAGGTTTAGGGTTTAGGGTTTAGGGTTTAGGGTTTAGGGTTTAGGGTTTAGGGTTTAGGGTTTAGGGTTTAGGGTTTAGGGTTTAGGGTTTAGGGTTTAGGGTTTAGGGTTTAGGGTTTGGGGTTTAGGGTTTAGGGTTTAGGGTTTAGGGTTTAGGGTTTAGGGTTTAGGGTGCGCAGCAGAGCTGTGTTTGGGTCGCGGGCCCGCGACAGAAGGAGCAGCGCGTGCTCCCATAAACTCCCGTCTGCGCAGACGGTGAGCCTGAGAGATTGTAGGGTTTAGGGTTTAGGGTTCAGGGTTTAGGGTTTAGGGTTTAGGGTTTAGGGTTCAGGGTTCAGGGTTTAGGGTTTAGGGTTTAGGGTTTAGGGTTTAGGGTTTAGGGTTTAGGGTTTAGGGTTTAGGGTTTAGGGTTTAGGGTTTAGGTTGAGAGGTTTGGGGTTCAGTGGCTGATTTAGGGGTTACGGGAGTTAGGGTCTCGCCAGGGGTTTAGTTTAGGGGCTTGAACCGCAAATAGCCTTGACCCTGCGCTTGAAAACCTGAAACTAAGGGACCCCAGCAGGCAGAACCCAAAAAAGCAAGTAATCAAATCGGGTTTAGGGTTAGGGTTTTAGGGTTTTAGGATTTAGGGTTAGGAGTTAGGGTTTAGGGTTTAGGGTTGAGGGTTGAGGGTTTAGGGTGTAGGGTGTAGGGTGTAGGGTTTAGGGTTTAGGGTTTAGGGTTTAGGGTTTAGGGTTTAGGGTTTAGGGTTTAGGGTCTAGGGTCTAGGGTCTAGGGTCTAGGGTCTAGGGTCTAGGGTCTAGGGTCTAGGGTCTAGGGTCTAGGGTCTAGGGTTTAGGGTTTAGGGTTAGGGTTTAGGGTTTAGGGTTTAGGGTTTAGGGTTTAGGGTTTAGGGTTTAGGGTTTATAGGGTTTAGGGTTTAGGGTTTAGGGTTTAGGGTTTAGGGTTTAGGGTTTAGGGTTTAGGGTTTAGGGTTTAGGGTTTAGGGTTTAGGGTTTAGGGTTTAGGGTTTAGGGTTTAGGGTTTAGGGTTTAGGGTTTAGGGTTTAGGGTTGGGAGCTAACCCTACAAAACCAGGAACCTTTGAGGCTGGTGCTGCTGCAGAGCGGGTGGGATGTTCACCCTTATACTAGCAGTCCTTCATGGGGATTATGGTACCCCCTATTCTCATCCTGATTAAGGACTGTTAGTATAAGGGGGAGCATGCCAAAAAAGTAGGAATTAGGGTTTGGGGTGCGGGGTGCGGGGGGGTTAAGCCTTACAGGGCTTCAGGTTTGAAGACCTTGCACCCCTGAAAACCCACCTACTTAACCCCCTCAAACCCTCCCCCCACCCCCACCCCCTAAGCCCGCTAAGTCCCCCAAACCCTAAACCCTAAACCCCTAAACCCCTAAACCCCTAAACCCCTAAACCCCAAAGCCCCTAAACCCCTAAACCCCTAAACCCCTAAACCCCTAAACCCCTAAACCCCTAAACCCCTAAACCCCTAAACCCCTAAACCCCTAAACCCCTAAACCCCTCGGCACCCAAGAAAGCCCCCCAAAGCTCCCACAAATGCGTTGCTGGGGCCCACACGCCGCAGTGTAAGTTCCTGGTAGGTTTCGGGGTTGGGGTCCCTAAACCCTAAACACTAAACCTCAAACCTTAAACCCTAAACCCTAAACCCTAAACCATTTAGGGGTGTAAGGTTTAAGGTTTCGTGACTCCGACACCCCTGCAAGGAACATGTGACCCCCTGGTCACATGTTCCTTGGAGTATATTGGGGACCCCTATCAAAAGTCAGGAACGTACCCTCTCCTCCTGCTATGACTGAAGAGATTCTCCTCACAATACGCATAGATGTCTGAGTTGCACTAATACCATGAGATGTTCCCCCTTCCCCGATTCAAATTCTTATTGAGAACGGGTAGTATAAGGGGGAACATCCCAACTAATACCTTGTGCAGCCCCAAACCCCAAACCCTCAACCCTCAACCCTAAACCCTAAACCCTTAAACCCTTAAACCCTTAAACCCTAAACCCTAAGAGCCGTTTGCACAACGAGGTTGCGCTGCTGTAGACTTCTCGGGCTCGTTCAGCGCTGACAAAAGCCGCCGTGGAATGCTGCAGGGCAGGGCGGGAGCGGGGGGCATCTTTCAAACTCAGTCCTTCGCAACACCATCTCACTGAACCCCGCGCCTGGGTGGCCGCGTGAATCTGACCCATCGGAGGGCCCATGGTGGCTGTAAAGCCTCCGGCGTGGCGGTTGATAACAGCGGCGGCTCGGGCTTGGATCTCCCGGCACTGCCGTTGCTCGGCCAGCACTTCCCCTTCCTTCTTCCAATACTCGAGCTCCAGTTTATCGGCTCGGTCTTAGGGCTTCAGGTTGGCTAAGGCGGTTTAGGGTTTAGGGTTTAGGGTTCGGGTTTAGGGTCTAGGGTCTAGGGTCTAGGGTTTAGGGTTTAGGGCTTAGGGCTTAGGGCTTAGGGCTTCGGGTTTGGGGTTTGTTTAAGGGTTTGTTTAAGGGGGGCATCGCGCTTCGGACTTCAGGCTTCGGGCTTAGGGCTTCTTAGGCCTTAGGGCTCCGGGCTGATTAGGGCTCTTAGGGCTCCGGGCTTATTAGGGCTCTTAGGGCTCTTAGGGCTCTTAGGGCTCTTGGGGCTCTTGGGGCTCTGAGGGCTCTTATTGAGGAGTGAGGGGCGCGGATCACACCATGTAGCGCAACCCGGCGAACGCAAACCCGAAATCAACCTTGAATCCTAAACCCTAAGCCCTACACACTAAAACCCTAGTATCCTAACACCCTTCAAACCCTTAAAACCCTACTTGAAACCCTTAAAACCCTCAAAACGCCTAACCCCCAAAACCCTAAAACCCCAAAACCCCAACACCCTGAAAAACCCCAAAACCCTGAAAACAAGCCTCTTGGGATGAATCCCTAAACACCCTAAACCGTGAACCCTAAACTCCAAACCTAAAACCCTAAAACCCTGAATCCCCAAAAACCCTAAACCCCAAACCCTAAACCCTAAACCTTAAAACCCTAAAACCCTGAATCCCCCCAAAAAAAAACCCAAAAAAAAACAGGTCTCTTGGGATGAATCGTAGCCCGAGAAGCCCAGGTCCGCTTTGACAGCGCGGCGCGCCATCTCCTGCCAGGACTCTGCTGTTTCCGACATGGGGTACCTTATTGGGGTTTAGGGTTTGGGGTCTAGGGTTTATGGTTTGAGGTTTAGGGTTTACAGTAGGGTTTACGGTTTGGGGTACCTTATTGGGGGTCCGCGTTATGATAAGGGAATCCCACTATTTGGGGTCCCATATTTTCGTAAACCCCACATGGGTCTTTGGGGTGTAGGGCCTAGGGTTTAGGATAGGGTTTAGGGTTCATAGGGTGTAGGGTTCATAGGGCTTATAGGATTTAGGGTTATAAGGTTCATAGGGTTCACAGGGTTTACAGGGTTCACAGGGTTCACAGGGTTCCCAGGGTTCACAGGGTTCCTGGGGCTCATAGGGTTCATAGGGTTCATCGGGTTTGGGGTTTAGGGTTCATAGGGTTTCGGGTGTATGGTCCCGGGAGGGCCACTTGGTGGGTCTGGGGGTTAGGGGTTCGGGGCATTCAGGGAGCTATTGTTTGGGCGTAAGGCTCGCGAAGAGGAAGGGCTTACTGGAGAAGTTGAAGACTTCCCTTGGACGATCTTCAGCCCGGAGTTTTTGGAACTCTCATCAGGAGGCTTCGGGCAATGTCTGCTCTTGAAACTGGCCCTAAACCCTAAACCCTCCAGGGCTAAACCCTAACCCTAAACCCTCAACCCTACACCCTCAACCCTAAACTCTAAACCCTCAACCCTAAACCCTCAACCCTAAAATCTGCGCCTCAAGCAGCTCGAGCCCGCGAGGCCACGCTGACCCCCAAGCGCAGGCGAGCATCGCCTGAAGGGGGCATTGATCCACTCTGTCTGAGGCCTCGAAAGGGAGCCGAAGCCTCAGGGTATAGGGTTTGGGGTTTGGGGTTTAGGGTTTGGGGTTTGGGGTTTGGGTTTGGGGTTTGGGGACCCCTTAAACCCGAAACAATCCCTAGACCCCAAACCCGCTGCCCCCAAGTGCTGAAACCCCCCCTGAATCCCCAAAGCCCGTAAGCCTCAAAACCCCGTCTACAAGCAGGAAACGGAATGAGTTCATTGGGGTCTACGCACTTCCCAAAGGCCTAGCTCTTTCAAGTCTGCAGAAGCTACTGGGATTTAGGGTTTAGACCCCCAAAGTCATCAAGCATGAAACCTAAACCCTAAACCCCAAACCCTAAACCCTAAACCCTACACCCTGAACCCAAAGCCGGCGGGAGCTCGGATCTGGCACCCTACCCTAAACGCTGTACATGCAAGGGGTTTCAGGCGTTTAGGGTTTATAGGAATTCAGGCTCCCAAAACCCTAAGGGCTCGTGCCTGGGTGCCTCAACGAGACACCCTAAACCCTAAACCCTAAACCCGAAACCCAAAACCCTAAAGCCTAAAGCCTAAAGCCTAAACCCTAAACCCTAACCCCCACACCCCAGCCATACGTTCCCTGAATCTCTGCCTCAGTGAACACCACGGCATCGGTGTGAGCCTTGCGGCAAGCGAGGCAGTCGCAGGATTTGGGGTTTGGGGTTTAGGGTTTTTGGTTCAGGGTTCAAGGTTCAGGGTTCAGGGTTTAGGGTTTAGGGTTTAGGGCTTCGGGCTTGGGGCTTGGGGATTGGGGATTGGGGCTTGGGGCTTAGGGCTTGGCTTGGCGAGTTGGCGGTTGGCGACTGTTTCGTGGGTGGGCTTGGGGCACTTCTCGCGGCTTGGGGCCCTAAACCCTAAACCCTAAACCCTAAACCCCTGAAACCCTGAACCCGAAAGCCTAAACCCTAAACCAAGCTACCACCTGATGGGCTTTGGGCTGTTGCCTTCGAGGTTGGACATTAGTTTGGAATTTGGGGCTTAGGGTTGAGGGGTTTAGGGGTTTAGGGGGTTTAGGGGTTTCAGGGGTTTCAGGGCTTCAGGGGCTTCAGGGGCTTCAGGGGTTTCAGGGGTTTCAGGGGTTTTGGAGTTTGCTTTTGCAAGCCTTTTTTTGTGTTTGAGGTGCAGGGTTCCCGGCCTCCTCGTTGCCCCTCCTGCCTCCAACCTCTTTGCCCATGTCCTGCCATCGTTCGAGTTTAGGGTTTGGAGTTTAGGGTGTAGGGTTTAGGGTTTCGGGTGGGATGTTCCCATGTTCCCCCTTTTACTGCCCGTCCTTAATAGGCACTACAATATGGGGCACTAGAATCCCTTTTAAGGACTGTTAGTATAACGGGGAACATCCCAAGACTTAGGGTTTATTACTTGCTCTCACTAGGGAGGCAAGTGAACAAGGAATCTAGTCCATGCCCTGTCGCAGTTCGCAACCCTAAAGCCCTAGCCTTCAATCCCTAAGCCGTGAACGCCAGCTCCCGTACCCCTTGGATTTCCCACCCTAAACCAAAGAAAGCAAAAACCAAACCCTAGACCCTAAACCCTAAGCCCTAAACTCTAAACCAAAAACCCTAAACCCGAAACCCTAAACCCGAAACCCGAACCCTAGACCCTCAACCCTACCCTTCTCAAACCCCAAACCCTGAGGCTTGAGCGTGGAGAGCTGGGGGTTGGGGGGGTTCAGTGCTCGGGGTATAGGGGATAGTTCTTACGGCTCAGGATTTCGGATTTATACAGGGGTTTTCGGGATTCTCGGGGTTTTGCGGTTTCGTGGTATAGGGGATTTAGGGTTTACATAGAGGATTAGGGGTTTAGGGGTTAGGGGTTTGGGGTTTACGTAGGGGTTAGGGTTTGGGAGACTATGTAGGGGTTTAGGGAAGCGGTACGCAGGCCCCCTGTCCTTCACCAGAAGCAGCGCTGCTTCCCATTGGGCTGCCTCCGCGCGCTTCGGTCGACTTAGGATGTAGGGCTCAGGGATTTGGGGTTTCGGGCTCTTGGCCCGAACCCTAAACCCTAAACCCCTAAACCCCTAAAACCCTAATCCCCTAAACCCCTAATCCCCTAAACCCCTAAACCCCTAAACCCCTAAACCCCTAAACCCCTAAACCCCTAAACCCCTAAACCCCTAAACCCCTAAACCCTTAACCCCCTAAACCCTGAACCCCTAAACCCCCCAAATCCTTCCAACGGCCACCCTACAGGCCTTATATAAACCCTGAAGCCAATCTGTCCCAACTGGTGGGCGACCCAAAGCTTACAAAAGAGCAAAAAAAGGCAAGGGTTAAGAGTTAAGGGTTAAGGGTTAAGGGTTAAGGGTTAAGGGTTTAGGGTTTAGGGTTTAGGGTTTAGGGTTTAGGGTTTAGGGTTTAGGGTTTCGGGTTTAGGGTTTAGGGTTTAGGGTTTAGGGATATCGGATAGGGGGGTTTAGGGTTTAGGGATAGGACTGTCGGGCTTCGGGTTTGGGAACAGGGCTTTGAAGGGGTTGGCCAATAAAACATCCTTGAATCCGCCAGTCCCCAAGCACCCCGTAAAGCCCTTTCAGGTTTAGCAACTAGGGACAGGGCTTAGGGTTTAGGATTTAGGGTTGGGGTTTGGGGTTTGGGGTTTGGGGTTTAGGGTTTAGGGTTTAGGGTTTAGGGTTTAGGGTTTGGGGTTTAGGGTTTAGGGTTTAGGGTTTGGGGTTTGGGGTTGAGGGTTTAGGGTTTAGGGCCTGTCCGCAGGCGGAGATGCAAGAGGCCACGGTGTCCGAAACGGGCTGTAGCTTTGACAGCCTCCCGAGTTCGGGTTTGGGTTTAGGGTTTAGGGTTAGGGTTAGGGGTTTAGGGGTTTAGGGGTTATAGGGGTTAGGGGTTAGGGGTTAGGGGTTAGGGGTTAGGGGTTAGGGGTTAGGGGCTAGGGGTTTGGGGTTTGGGGTTTGGGGTTTGGGGTTTGGGGTTTGGGGGTTTAGGGTGGCGAAGGCTTAGGGATCCCGAGTAGGTCAGGACTTAAGGCTTAAGAAAAGGTGCTAGGGTTTAGGGTTTAGGGTTTAGGGTTTAGGGTTTAGGGTTTAGGGTTTAGGGTTTAGGGTTTAGGGTTTAGGGTTTAGGGTTTAGGGTTCAGCATCTCTGGTCCAAGCATTCACTAGTTGAGCAGCTTTCAAGGCCACAGGGGAATACCCACCCGCCCATTGGGTCCCACACCATTAGAAAATTTTTTTAATCCTCTTCTCCTCTAGACAGCCGCGTTCCCAGTCCCTCCCTTCGACTCCGCCCGTCAGTGTTTTCTGCTGGCAGTCGTTGCATATTCGATCACGACCTTCAGGCCCTGAAGGGTTTGGGGAAACCCTTCAGGCCCTGAACGGTTCGTGGAAACCCTTCAGGCCCTGAAGGGTTTGGGGAAACCCTTCAGGCCCTGAAGGGTTTGGGAAAACCCTTCAGGCCCTGAAGGGTTCGGGGAAACCCTTCAGGCCCTGAAGGGTTTGGGGAAACCCTTCAGGCCCTGAATGGTTCGTGGAAACCCTTCAGGCCCTGAAGGGTTTGGGGAAACCCTTCAGGCCCTGAAGGGTTTGGGAAAACCCTTCAGGCCCTGAAGGGTTCGGGGAAACCCTTCAGGCCCTGAAGGGTTTGGGGAAACCCTTCAGGCCCTGAACGGTTCGTGGAAACCCTTCAGGCCCTGAAGGATTTGGGGAAACCCTTCAGGCCCTGAAGGGTTTGGGAAAACCCTTCAGGCCCTGAAGGGTTTGGGGAAATCCTTCTGGCCCTGAAGGGTTTGGGAAAACCCTTCAGGCCCTGAAGGGTTCGGGGTAGCCCTTCAAGCCCTGAAGGGTTTGGGGAAACCCTTCAGGCCCTGAATGGTTCGTGGAAACCCTTCAGGCCCTGAAGGGTTTGGGGAAACCCTTCAGGCCCTGAAGGGTTTGGGAAAACCCTTCAGGCCCTGAAGGGTTCGGGGAAACCCTTCAGGCCCTGAAGGGTTTGGGGAAACCCTTCAGGCCCTGAACGGTTTGGGAAAACCCTTCAGGCCCTGAAGGGTTCGGGGAAACCCTTCAGGCCCTGAAGGGTTTGGGGAAACCCTTCAGGCCCTGAAGGATTCGTGCAAACCCTTCAGGCCCTGAAGGGTTTGAGGAAACCCTTCAGGCCCCCAAACCCTTCAGGCCCTGAAGGGTTCGGGGAAACCCTTCAGGCCACGAACCATTCAGGGCCTGAAGGGTTTGGGGAAACCCTTCAGGCCCTGAAGGGTTTGGGAAAACCCTTCAGGCCCTGAAGGGTTCGGGGAAACCCTTCAGGCCCTGAAGGGTTTGGGGAAACCCTTCAGCCCCTGAACGGTTCGTGGAAACCGTTCAGGCCCTGAAGGGTTTGGGGAAACCCTTCAGGCCCTGAAGGGTTTGGGAAAACCCTTCAGGCTTTGGGAAAACCCTTCAGGTCCTGAAGGGTTCGGGGAAACCCTTCAGGCCCTGAAGGGTTTGGGGAAACCCTTCAGGCCCTGAAGGGTTCGTGGAAACCCTTCAGGCCCTGAAGGGTTTGGGAAAACCCTTCAGCTCCTACTTATAATAATTTAAACCTTAGTGTGGAGCCAAAATCGGACCCCCCCCCCCCCCAGTGAAAAACCTGCACCCTGGCCCCTCGAGCCCGTGAAAAAAAACAGTGAAAAACCTGATCCCTGGGGCCCCGACGCCCGTGAACCTCGAGCCTCGAGGCCTTAACCAGTGAAAAACCTGAACCCTGGGGCCCCGACGCCAGTGAAAAACCTGAACCCTGGGCCCTCGAGCCCGTGAAAAAAAAGAGGGCTAAAATCACTGAAACACCCTGAGAAACGTTGAAAAACCTTAAAAAACACTGAAAAACTCTGAAAAACCTTGAAAAACCTTGAAAAAACGTGAAATCCTGAAACCGGTGAAGTTTGGTTTTGGTCCAAAAATCCAGAAAACGAGAGGCCACCCAAAACCGTCGATTTCAGTACTAAAAAATCGCATTTTTAACTGCGACCCGGGCCGATCCTGGGTCCCCTTCATTTGGGGACCCTAGGGCCCCGACCCCGTGAAAATCCTAAACCCTGGGGCCCCGACCCCCTGAAGATCCTCAACCCTCTCCTACTTATAATAATTTAAATGTTAAGCACATTCGTGGTTTTAGGCACGCCCCCGCCCGTGAAAATTCTAAACCCTAGGGCCCCGACCCCGTGAAAATCCTAAACCCTGGGGCCCCGACCCCCTGAAGATCCTCAACCCTCTCCTACTTATAATAATTTAAATGTTAAGCACATTCGTGGTTTTAGGCACGCCCCCGCCCGTGAAAATCCTAAACCCTAGGGCCCCGACCCCGTGAAAATCCTAAACCCTGGGGCCCCGACCCCCTGAAGATCCTCAACCCTCTCCTACTTATAATAATTTAAATGTTAGGCACATTCGTGGTTTTAGGCACGCCCCCGCCCGTGAAAATCCTAAACCCTAGGGCCCCGACCCCGTGAAAATCCTAAACCCTGGGGCCCCGACCCCCTGAAGATCCTCAACCCTCTCCTACTTATAATAATTTAAATGTTAAGCACGTTCGTGGTTTTGGGCACGCCCCCGCCCGTGAAAATCCTAAACCCTAGGGCCCCGACCCCGTGAAAATCCTAAACCCTGGGGCCCCGACCCCCTGAAGATCCTCAACCCTCTCCTACTTATAATAATTTAAATGTTAAGCACATTCGTGGTTTTAGGCACGCCCCCGCCCGTGAAAATCCTAAACCCTAGGGCCCCGACCCCGTGAAAATCCTAAACCCTGGGGCCCCGACCCCCTGAAGATCCTCAACCCTCTCCTACTCATAATAATTTAAATGTTAAGCACATTCGTGGTTTTAGGCACGCCCCCGCCCGTGAAAATCCTAAACCCTAGGGCCCCGACGCCAGTGAAAAACCTGAAGCCTGGCCCCTCGAGCCCGTGAAAAAAAACAGTGAAAAACCTGAACCCTGGGGCCCCGACGCCCGAGAAAACCTTGAGTTTGATGTTCGAGGGCGGGTTGGGGAAAATTCAGGTCCTTACTAGGTCTCCCAAGCCAGTGAAAAACCGAACCCTGGCCCCTCGACGCCAGTGAAAAACCCGAACCCTGGCCCCTCGAGCCCGTGAAAAAAAAAAACCAGTGAAAATCCTGAACCCTGGCCCCTCGAGCCCGTGAAAAAAAAAAACACGAAAACCTGAACCCCGGAGCCCCCAAGCCTACGAAGAAACTGAACCATCGGTGGAAAACATAGAAAACCAGTGAAAAACCTGAACCCTGGCCCTTCGAGAGGCCAGTGAAAATCCTGAACCCTGGCCCCTCCAGCCCGTGAAAAAAAAAAAAACAGTGAAAAACTTGAACCCTGGAGCCCCCACGCCTACGAAAAAGCTAAACAACCAGTGGAAAACCTGAAAAGCCAGTGAAAAACCTGAACCCTGGCCCTTCGAGACGCCAATGAAAATCCTGAACCCTGGCCCCTCGAGCCCGTGCAGTGAAAAACCTGAACCCTGGCCCCTCAAGCCCGTCGAAAAAAACGGTGACAATCCGAACCCTGGGGCTCCGGCCCGTGAAAACCCCGACGCCAGTGAAAAACCTGAACCCTGGCCCCCCGAGCCCGCCCATGAAAAAACTCAAAAATCCTGAACCCTGGGGCCCCGACGCCAGTGAAAAACCTGAACCCTGGCCCCCCGGAAAACCTCAAAATCCTGAACCCTGGGGCCCCCGACGCCAGTGAAAAGCCTGAACCCTGGCCCCCCGAGCCCGCCCATGAAAAACCTCAAAAATCCTGAACCCTGGGGCCCCGACGCCAGTGAAAAACCTGAACCCTGGCCCCTCGAGCCCACCCATGAAAAACCTCAAAAATCCTGAACCCTGGGGCCCCGACGCCAGTGAAAAACCTGAACCCTGGCCCCCCGAGCCCGCCCGTGAAAAACCTGAACCCTGGTCCTGCGAGGGCTCGAATTTTCCCCAACCCTCCCTCGAACAACACTCAAAACCAGTGAAAAACCTGAACCCCGGCCCTTCCAGGGGCCAGTGAAAATCCTGAACCCTGGCCCCTCCAGCCCGTGAAAAAAAAAAAACCAAAAACTTGAACCCTGGAGCCCCCACGCCTACGAAAAAGCTAAACAACCGGTAGGAAACCTGAAAAGCCAGTGAAAAACCTGAACCCCGGCCCTTCGAGGAGCCAGTGAAAATCCCGAACCCTGGCCCCTCCAGCCCGTGAAAAAAAAAACAGTGAAAAGCTTGAACCCTGGAGCCCCCCCGCCTGAGAAAAAGCTAAACAACCCGTGGACCACCTGAAAAACCAAGAAAAACACTTCGATGAAAAACGTTGAGAAACCCGAACCCTGGCCCTTCGAGGCCGGCTTGTGCCCAAATCCACGAAGGTTTGTGCCCAAATCCACGAAGGTTTGTGCCCAAATCCACGAAGGTTTGTGCCCAAATCCACGAAGGTTTGTGCCCAAATCCACGAAGGTTTGTGCCCAAATCCACGAAGGTTTGTGCCCAAATCCACGAAGCCTCGAACCTTTATAATGTTCATGGCCTTCGTGGATTTGGGCACAAACCTTCGTGGATTTGGGCACAAACCTTCGTGGATTTGGGCACAAATCCCGTGAAAAACCTGAACCCTGGCCCCCCGACGCCGGCGAAAAGCGTTGAAAAACCTGAACCCTGGCCCTTCGAGGCCGGTTTGTGCCCAAATCCACGAAGGTTTGTGCCCAAATCCACGAAGGTTTGTGCCCAAATCCACGAAGGTTTGTGCCCAAATCCACGAAGGGGTTTAACATTTAAATATATATAGTAGGAGAGGTTTAGGGTTTAGGGTTTAGGGTTTAGGGTTTAGGGTTTAGGGTTTAGGGTTTAGGGTTTAGGGTTTAGGGTTCCCATAAACCCACCACCCTTAGCTGGAGTTCAGGGTTCAGGGTTGAGGCAAGCCCCTAAACCCTGATCTTCAAACACGCCCGCGACTGGTTCGGGATGAGGTTTGTGGAACTAGCGTGGTCCGGCCGTGTACGGGGTTTTCACTTTCAGGGCTGCTTGGGGTTTGGGGTTTAGGGCTTTAGGGCTTTAGGCTTTGAGTTTGGGGAGGGGTTCAACCCTAAGCTCTCCGAAACCCCAAGCCCTGGAGGCCCTACTTGGAGATTCATGGTGCTTAGCAACCCAATTACAACTGTACTTATAACCCAAGTATCACCCAATTACAACTGTACTTATAACCCAAGTATAACCCAACTACAACTGTACTTATAACCCAAGCATAACCCTATTGCTGTACCCGGAACCTGCAAGTACCCTGGAGGTGCCTCAAACGATCCAGGAGAGCAAGCGCTTGCGTCCAGTGCCCCGCGGACGCCCAAGCGGAAATGGCATTGTTGAAGCAGAACACCTAGGCCCAACGAAACCCTCAAAACATGGTTTTTGGTTTAGAGTTTAGGGTTTAGGGTTTAGGGTTTAGGGTTTCGGGTTTAGGGTTTAGGGTTTAGGGTTTTAGGGTTTAGGGACTTAGGGTGTTAGGGACTTAGGGGTGTGCGTCTTAGAGCTTCGGGGGCAGCTGTTGGGGTGGTTTGACGGAGTTCCGGGCTGCAGGGTTTGGGGCTTAGGGCTCTAGGGGTTTCGGGTTTAGGGTTTAGGGTTTAGGGTTTAGGGTTTAGGGTTTAGGGTTTAGGGTTTAGGGTTTAGGGTTTAGGGTTTAGGGTTTAGGGTTTAGGGTTTAGGGTTAGGGAACCTGTTGAGAGGTTGAGGCTCTCGAAGACTTGCAGAGGCTGAACACCTTTTTAACCCCAAAAGCCCCTAAACCGCAGCCTAAACCTCCAAGAGGACGGCGCACCGGTGAAGATAGTAGCCGAATGCGCGGCGCATGGCCAGTGACTCAGAAGAGGCTCAGCTCTCGCTCGAAAGTCCCAGATGACTGATTGGGTCGCGCATCCCCGGCCGCAGTCGTCCAATAGCGAAGCGCCTGATGCGCCCCCGAAACCCTAAACCCTAAACCCCGAACCCTAAACCCTAAACTCTAAACCCTAAAACGCAGAATCCGCATTCAATTTGCAATTTACGGCGGCGCTCACCGCCTCGAGGTCACCAACAGAGAGAGCTTCGTTTGTAACCTCAGAAGCAAATCTGCCCCCTAAACCCTAAACCTTAACCCCTAAACCCTAAACCCTAAACCCTTAACCAGACTCTCCAATCACTGCCCCAAGGGCAAATCAGAATCTGTCGGCCTCGGCTCGCATCAGCTTTGGCTTAAAGCATCTCCAGATGCCCACGAGAGAACTGCTGGAGTATGCTGGGATGTTCAGAGGCATACTCCAACCCTTACCACCCAGAAACCCCATCTTAAACACCCAAAAGACCTAAACTCCCAAAGATGGGGGGGGGGGGGGTTGGTGTTGGGGTTTAGGGTTTAGGGTTTGGGGTTTAGGGTTTAGGGCTTAGGGCTTAGGGCTTATTGTTTAGGGTTTAGGGTTTAGGGTTTAGGGTTTAGGGTTTAGGGTTTAGGGTTTAGGGTTTAGGGTTTAGGGTTTAGGGTTTAGGGGCCCCAAGCAAGCCCCGAGGGCCGAAGCACTCCAGGGCTCCCCGCATCAGCAGCCAGAGCTCTGGCCGGCAAGCTGTCGAAGAGCTGGACTGCCTGATTTTTGAGGGGGCCTTCTTGGGGTTTAGGGTTTAGGGTTTAGGGTTTAGGGTTTAGGGTTTAGGGTTTAGGGTTTAGGGTTTAGGGTTTAGGGTTTAGGGTTTAGGGTTTAGGGTTTAGGGTTTGGGCTTTAGGGTTTAGGGCTTTAGGGCTTTAGGGCTTTAGGGCTTTAGGGCTTTAGGGCTTTGCGGGTCTAGGGGCTTCGGAGTTTAGGGGTTTGGGGTTTAGGGTCTGTTTCTTGGGTTTAGGGGTTCCTTGCTTTTAGCGTTCGGGCCGAGGCTTGTTGAAGGGCTTTCGGGGGGGTTCTGGGGTGAGCTTTCGATTCGCAAGAGGCTTGGGGGGTGTGCGGCTACCCATGCCTAACTTAGGGTCTGGAGCTTTGGGTCTGGGCTTTGGGGTTTAGGGTTTAGGGTTTAGGGCTTAGGGTTTGGGGTTTAGGGTTTAGGGTTTAGGGTTTAGGGTTGAGGGTTTAGGGCTTAGGGTTTAGGGCTTAGGGCTTAGGGTTTAGGGCTTAGGGAACCCCGTTTGCAGGCGGCTCTTCTCACGCTCTGGTCAGGAGCGCGGCCTCTGCCCACAACTCGGACTTGTAGCAGGCGCCGATGCAGGAAGTCATGACCTTGGTTTTAGGGTACAGGGTTTGGGTTTAGGGTTTAGGGTTTAGGGTTTAGGGTTTAGGGTAAAGGGTTTGAGTTTAGGGTTTAGGGTTTAGGGCTTAGGGTTTAGGGTTTGGGGTTTTGGGTTTAGGGTTTTTTGGGTTGAGGGTTGAGGGTTGAGGGTTGAGGGTTGAGGGTTGAGGGTTGAGGGTTGAGGGTTGAGGGTTGAGGGTTGAGGGTTGAGGGTTGAGGGGTTATGGTAAACTTCAAACCCTAAACCCACAACCCCTTCTGAGCCCCTGAACCCTGAGCTGTGGCCAATTCGGCCCAACCCTAAACCCTAAACCCTAAACCCTAAGAAACCCTAAACCCTAAACCCTAAACCCTAAGAAACCCTAAACCCTAAACCCCAAACCCCAAACCCTAAACCCTACACTTGGAGGTTCATGGGTACTTATAATTTCTAACCTGCTTTTGGCGACTTAGGGGCCTTGTAAGTAAAGTCATCATTGGGGTTCTAAGGACCCTGAACCTCCTAGTAGCCCTAAACCCTAAACCCTTTAATGGTGGCTATAAGTACCAAAGGAATCTCACATGCCTTCTACACCCACCTCCACCATGAAGTTGCCCCATCGTTGCCCGAGCCCCGAAGCCCCTCAGCTCCCAAACCCTGAACCCCACCATGCAATGTCCGACCTAAACCCTAAACCCTCAACCCTAAACCATAAACCCTGCAAACCCTTTAAACCCCTAAACCCTTTAAACCCTTTAAACCCCTAGACCCTTTAAACCCCTAGACCCTTTGAACCCTTTAAACCCCTAAACCCTTTCAACCCCTAAACCCTCAACCCTAAGCCATAAACCCTTTAAACCCTTTAAACCCCCAAACCCTTTAAACCCCTAAACCCTTTAAACCCTAAACCCTGAACCACCTCAAGGCCCAGAAGCCCTGCGCCTGACATACGAAACAAGCCCCTCAGCCCCAAAGCCCCAGAGCCCCAAAGGGTCCTGAGGGTTCAGGGTTCGAGGTTTAAAGGGTTGAGGGTTTAGGGTTTAGGGTTTAGGGTTTAGGGTTTAGGGTTTAGGGTTCAGGGTTCGAGGTTTAGGGTTGAGGGTTGAGGGTTGAGGGTTTAGGGTTTAGGGTTTAGGGGCTAAGGGTACCTTCAAGGCCCCAGCTCTCAAGACACAACCCGGTAAACTTACAGAATAGGGTTTGGGACTTAGGGGGGTTTAGGGTTTAGGGTTTAGGGCTTAGGGCTTGGGGCTTAGGGCTTAGGCTTATTAGGGCTTATTAAGGCTTATGAGGGCTTCTCAGGGCTCTTAGGGCTCTTAGGGCTCTTAGGGCTCTTCGGGCCCTAAGTCTGGCTCACCTGCTTGGGCCGCGGACGATGGTGTCTGGCGTCACAGTGGCGCCTATTGGGAGGGGTCATGCTTTAGGGTTTAGGGTTTAGGGCTTAGGGTTTAGGGTTTAGGGTTTAGGGTTTAGGCTTGAGGGTTTAGGGTTCAGGGCTTAAGGCTTAGGGCTTAGGGTTTGGGGCTTAGGGGGTTAGGGGGTCAGGGTTAGGGTTTTAAAACTTAGGGCTTGGGGCTTGGGGCTTGGGGTCTGTGTCGAGCCTGCATAACTACAAAATAAATGCCAATGGCGAGGTTCAAGAATTCCAGATACCCAGAGTATCCCTGTGTTGATTAGCCCTACATTAAGGCTTTGCGGGCTTTGTTTCGGCTGCTGGCGGTTCATGGCTTTCGGGGTTGAGCGTAGGGGCTTAGATACTGCTTTCTTTGGGGGAGAGGGCCTTAGGGGTCTCAACCCTAGACCCTAGGGCTCTTGGGGCTTCTGAGGCTCTTGCCTCAGGGTTTAGGGTTTAGGGTTTAGGGTTTGGGGTTTAGGGTTTCGGGTTTAGGGCTTAGGGAATTCAAAAACCACCACTCCCGCTGGCCTGGCATGTCCTTCAGCAGACGCAGCACGTGCCGCCAGGAGCGGCCCATTTCCGAGGCCTCGGGCGGCTGGGCCGGTGTAAGCCGCCCGAGATCCTAACCTTTTGTGAACGTTGAACCCTCAACCGTGAACCTAAACTCTAAGCCCCAAGGCCCCCTAACAGCCCGAAGCCCAAACGCAAACACCCTAAACCCTAAACCCTAAACCCTAAACCCTAAACCTCGGCCCTAAACCCTAAACCCTCAACCCTAAACCATGCTTCGAGCCCCGAGCCCGGATGGTGGCGGTGTAGGTGATCACGTTGGGCCGATGCCTGCCTCAGGGGGCGGTTCGGAGTCTAGGGGGGTTTAGGGGGTAGGGGGTTCGGGGTTCAGGGTTCAGGGTTCAGGGTTTGGGGTTTGGGGTTTAGGGTTTAGGGTTTAGGGTTTAGGGTTTAGGGTTTAGGGTTTAGGGTTTAGGGTTTAGGGTTTAGGGTTAGGGTTTAGGGCAGGCTGGAGGGTGCTTTAGGTTTGAGAAGGCTGTTGGCCAGTTTAGACCCTGAACCCTAAGCCCTAAGTCCTAAATCCTAAACCCTAAACCCTCCTAAACCCCGAACCCTGAACCCGAAATCCTAAAGCTAAGCCTAAACCTCTTGACGCCTGCGGTCTAGGCCTAAACCCTAAACCCCTAAACCCCAAGCCCTAAACCCTAAGCCCGAAACCTCAACCCTCAACCCTGAGGGTTTAGGGTTTAGGGTTTAGGGCTTAGGGCTTAGGGCTTAGGGCTTAGGGCTTAGGGTTTGGGGTTTGGGGTTTGGGGCTTGGGGCTTGGGGCTTGGGGCTTGGGGCTTGGGGCTTGGGGCTTGGGGCGTAAGGTGTAGGGTGTAGAGTTTGGTGCTTCTTGGTACCTTAAAACTAGCACGTGCTCTCATGCAGCCCCCTCCCTCCTCCTCCTGCCCCAGCAAAAAAGAAGGCGCCGAACCTGGATCAACGCCCAGCCAAAACGGGCTTGTAAGCCACTGGACCAAACAAACCTTCGCTAAACCCAAACTCCACTAAGTCTGCAGAGCTCCCAACAAGGGACCCCGAATTCTCGGAAGCCGCCATTTCAGCAAGATTCTGGGGCCCGAGGTACAACTTTGGTAGACTTTGCATGAACCCAACAGATGCTCCATTTCCCCCACCTGCCCCCTGCTCACCCCTGGCCTTCCTCCCGCATCTTGTCGAAATGCATCACGGCCGCCTGGCGGTTTAGGGTTTAGGGTTTAGGGTTTAGGGTTTAGGGTTTAGGGTTTAGGGTTTAGGGTTTAGGGTTTAGGATTGAGGGGTTTAGGGGTTTAGCAAGAGCATTTGGAGCATTTAAGGGTTTTGTGGTCGCGGCTTTGAACTCGAGGCGGCCCAGTCGTCGAGTTTGGGGTCTGGGGTTCCGTGCTTAGGGTTTAGGGTTTAGGGTTTAGGGTTGAGGGTTGAGGGTTGAGGGTTGAGGGTTGAGGGTTGAGGGTTGAGGGTTGAGGGTTGAGGGTTGAGGGTTGAGGGTTGAGGGTTGAGGGTTGAGGGTTGAGGGTTGAGGGTTTAGGCTTCAGGGTTCAGGGTTCAGGGTTCAGGGTTCAGGGTTCAGGGTTTCGGGATTCGGGTTTACGGGTTTAGGGGCCGGTGTGTGTTTTTTGTCTGTGTTTGCCTTGAAGAACAACTTACGTGTGGCCGGGGGGGGGGGGTCTGTGAGTTCTGTGTGTTCTGGGCTGGTGTGCGTGCCTACCTCCCTTCCCTTCATTCCCTCCGCTCCCTTCCCTCCATTCCTTCCCTGATTTCCTTCCGCCCTTGCTCTGTCTAAACCTGAGGGACATATTGGGATGTTCCCCCTTATACTAACAGTCCTCAATAGGGATTATCCCCATTAAGGACTGTTTGTATATCCCAAGGGACATAGTTCAAAGTAGGAGCTGCCCGATACCGAGAGAACCTGTTTGTAGTTTCAGGTTTAGGGTTTCGGGCCCAAAGGCCCCCGAATAAAGAACCCGAAACGGGCAAACCCCAAAGCACCGAAGCAAAACCCAAAGTCCTTAAGACTTACGACCCACATAGAACCCTGAAAACCCTCAAAAACTTCCTAAACGCTTTCTCTTTGCAACCCTGGGAAGCCCAGAAGATATCCCTTTGTCACACTCTAAAGCCCCTTAAAGGCCTTTGACCCTCCCAAAAACCCTCAACCCAGCGAGTTCCATCCTAAACCCTATGAAACCCTAACCCTAAACCGCAAACCCTAAACCCTAACCCCTAAACCCTAAACCCTCAACCCTCAAGAAGCCAGCGGGTCCCATCCTCCCACTGCAGCCCCTGCGCCAGGGCCGCCAGCGCCGCCGTCTCGGTGGCGATCTGCGGCCGGTTTAGGGTTTAGGGTTTAGGGTTTAGGGTTTAGGGTTTAGGGTTTAGGGTTTAGGGTTTAGGGTGTAGGGTTTAGGGTTTAGGGTTTAGGGTTTAGGGTTTAGGGTTTAGGGTTTAGGGTTAGGGTTTAGGGTTTTTGGGTTTTTGGGTTTTTGGGTTTTGGGGTTTTTGGGTTTTGCGGTTTTTGGGTTTTTGGGTTTTTGGGTTTTTGGGTTTTTGGGTTTTTGGGTTTTTGGGTTTTTGGGTTTTTTGAGTAAACCCTAAACCCTAAACCCTAAACCCTACCCTTTCTGGCAGCGAATGGCAGAGAGCATCATGAGATCACAGTGCGGCCACAAGGCTGACCAAGGGGTTCATCCAGATCTTCGGGTAGTTACATGGTCCCTAGGGTTTAGGGTTTAGGGCTTTAGGGTTTAGGGTTTGGGGTTTAGAGTTTCGGGGATTGTAAGGCGTGGGCTACGAATGGAAAATTTGCGGGCTGGGCTGTACGCTTCTTGCAATATTGAGCTGCCCTTCGAAGAGACCAAGGTTGAATCAGGGTTAGTTTGGCGAGGATGAGGTTCCCGAAACGCTAAACCCTAAACCCTAATCCCTAAACCCTAATCCCTACACCCTAAACCCTAAACCCTAAACCCGAAACCCTAAACCCTAACGGGACTGTATGGAGACAACATGGGTGGCGACGTCCGCCCCTGGGCCACACAAACGGGCTGGGAACCCCGCTTTCTGAAACCTCAGCCCCCCCTACGATGCTGAAACCCTCTGCTTCTCAGCCAGCGCGGCAGCAGGGTGAAACATGCCAGAAGGGCCTCGTGGCTTGCTTCCCTACACCCTAAACCCCCTAAACCCGAAACCCCAAAGCCCAAGTCTAGCCAGGCTAGGCGGGATGTTCCCGTTATACTAACAGTCCTTAATGGGGAAATTACTACCCCCTAAACCCTAAACCCTAAACCCCAAACCCTAAACCCTAAACCCTAATTAAACCCTACTAAAAACTGTTGGCAGAAGGGTGAACATCCCAAGCCTCGCTCGCATTAAGGTGCAGGCATCGGCCGTGGATCCTCAACCACAACACTCCAACTCCCACCATGCACACGCACTCTATCTATATATATATATATGTAGATATATATGTACATATACGACATATTATGTTCATGTATATGTATGTATGTATATATATATATATATATATATATATATATATATATATATTTACTTATTTATTTATTTAGCTACTTAACTAATTATTTATCTATTCATTGAACAATAAGGTTCATGAGAATGGTAACTTCAAAATTTCGTAGCCCTTCGGACTTGCAGGTTGTTCGAGCCCGGCTCGCAAGTTTGGGGCGAGACCTGACGGCACCTTTGCCGTGCGGCTCGCCGTTGTCGCGGAGGGCTCCAGATTTGCTTGTGGCTTCCCCTACACTTAGGGTTTAGGCTTTAAGGTTTAGGGTTTAGGGTTTAGGGTTTAGGGTTCAGGGTTCAGGTTTAGGGTTTAGGGTTTGGGGTTTAGGGTTTAGGGTTTAGGATTTAGGGTTTAGGGTTTACGGTTTATGGTTTAGGGTTTAGGGTTTAGGGTTTAGGGTTTGGGGTTTGGGGTTTGGGGTTTGGGGTTTGGGGTTTGGGGTTTTGGGTTTGGGGTAAATCCCGAAACCTAAACCCCCCAAACCCGAGGCCCTAAACCCTCCAGGTGGGAGAGCCAAGATGGCTTCAGATAGAGCTTCGGAGCTGGTATGTAGGTATGCATGCCTGTACGTGTGTGTGCCTGTGTGTTCTTTTGGGCGTAGTGTTTTGGGGTTCTCCTGAAACCCTAAACCCTAAACCCTCAACCCTAAACCCTAAACCCTAAACCCCTGAATTCCTACAATCCTGAGCCCAAGCATCAGGGGGCGTGAGGAGCGAGACTCGCTTTGCGGAGACCTTGGGTCTGCAACTTCGGGTCTAACACACCGAACCCTATGCCCTAAGCCCTAAGCCCTAAGCCCTAAGCCCTAAACCCTAAACCCTAAACCCTAAACCCTAAACCCTAAACCCTAAACCCTAAACCCTAAACCCTAAACCCTAAACCCTAAACCCTAAACCCTAAACTCCACGCCCTGCCCCCAAGGTCCCCCTCGAGCTGATGGAGGCGGCCCCCACTTCATGGGAACGCTGAGCGGCCCTCTCTTGTCTAAAGGCCTAAGGCCCCGAACCCCTGAACCGATACACCCCAAAACCCCAAACCCTAAACCCCAAACCTTAAACCCTAAACCCTAAGCCCTAACCTTAAGCCCTAATCCCTCTACCTTGGGAGGTTTTGTTTCGGTATAGTCAGGCCCCCTGAACACCGAAAGGCCTAAACCCCCAAACCCCCGTGATAGGTCTGGCCACCACACGTGTAGAGTAAAGATCTTAGACGGCTTATTATAGAGGACATACTGGGGCCAGTTTACACATATTATTCGGTCCAAATATCTAAAGAAGACAAGCGAATCCAAATCCTAAACCTCAAACCCCACAACCCCCAAAAAAAACCAACCTTC